TCAGCTCACAGTACAAGAATTTACAGTTGACATCAGGGCTCATGGTACAGACCTTAGCTTTTGGATCATGGAACTGCCGAGCGCACTGGACGTTCGCGTCGTACATTGCTCCAGGAGGCATATTCGGAAATTTGTAGCTCTGTTCTTGAGGTTCGTCCAACAGGCAGTCCCCTAATCCGTTGTCCAGAAACTCCTGTATGAACTTTCTGCTGCATTTAGACCAGATCGAAGTAGCCATTTGCACATATGGTGACATGACGTAGACGTTGACTTCGTCTGCTTCGGGATTACACTCCGAATCGACCCCGTTGTCGTGCCCACAACCCACGACGTGTCCGACCTCGTGAGCCACGGTGATTCCCAGTTCCAATCCGCTATCCTCGCAGATTGCGCACGATAAACTTGGATTGCAGGCTTGTGCTAAGTAAGCGAGTCCCAGAAGGCCACATGCGCTCTTACCTTCGCTGCAGATATCGTACCTAGTGAGCAGAACAGCGATATCGTGGTGATTGGGATGTTTCAGGTCTTGTGGATTCACCGTCTGTTGCCAATTGCAGAAACTCTCTAACGTCTTGCTAGCGGCTGGGGTTATGGTCAAGTCCTTTTCTTCTCCTTCTTTGTGTAAGTAGATAATACGCACCACAACAACGTCAATCAGGTTTCCGATGCTGGCGTCGTGGTAAAAGTCAGCTGCCATGTTCAGTATAGTCAGGATGTATGTCTCGACGTCGGAGTCGTTACGGTTTTCAAGAAATTTCTTATCAGCTACCACAAGGAGCTCTAAGTAGCGATGTGTGCTGTCACTTGTCTTCACGTCACGATTGTGTCTGTGTTCCTCGAACCTTAGCCGATCTCGCCACCCGTCCTCCCAGCCTCCAGTACCACAGGTTTCGTGGTTGCTTACCGATCTCTTATGCACGATATGTGCGTGTTGGCCATCCTCCTCCGGCTGGTGGTCCTTCATGGGTTCGATAAAGTAATGACCTTCGTTAGTTCTAATGTAACCAGACATGCCATCGCAGACAGAGAGCGCTACTCGAGAGTCTCTCTGACCTTTCACACGGCCGACGTAATGGCACTGAGAACTCTTCACTGGTCTTATCTTTATGTTATTGATATCGAGGCTGGATCCAGCTCCACGTTCTTCTACGACCAGTCCAGGTGCCATGAAGTCGTGGTTTGGCCACAGTTCCACGAGATGATCCTCTCCGTTCAGTGTAAGTCCGTAATGCACTTTGTCGGAATCATCCGGAAGATCTCGCTTTTTACGTCTGCTCGTGTCTCGTTCGTAGAAGTTCTGAAGCGAGTAGGACACGAACTCGCCGTCCTCATTCACCTTCCTTGGCACCAGAATTTGATGGTCTTTTATACCTCTCGTATATCTTCCTTCAAATGCCCTGTTTATCCATCCCTGATGCTCCATACCTAAACTTTCGACGTTCCAAAATAAAAGCAGAAATATGCTGCAAACACCGATTAAAGATGTTCGCTTCATTCTTGTGACTTGTTGTTAATAAACAACTCCAAGAAGTTATCTCAATTTGTTCCAGCTGTTGTTTTCTAAAGCTTCTTTTAAACTGTCCTACAAAACAATATTTAAATTATTAATGGCGAAGAGATTATCTTAGAGTGGCTAATAAGTCCTTTGAAAGGGTTACAAAGTTCAAATATTTTCGAACAATAATAACAAATCAAAATGATATTTATTAGGAAGTTAGGAGGAGACTAAATTCCAGAAATGCTCGCTACTTCTCAGTTCAAAATATTTTGTCTTCCCGTCTTGATTTCTAAGAACCTGAAGATTAAAATATACAAAACAATAATTTTTCCTGTTGTTTTGTATGGGTGCGAAACATGGTCTCTCACTCAGAGGGAGGAACACAGATTGCAGGTGTTTGAGAATCGGGTGTTGAGGAGGATATTTGGGCCTGGGAGAGAAGACGATGGGGCATGGAGAAAACTGCATAATGATGAGCTTAAAAATAGGGTATCACACAGAAAGTTAACATTAAAATCAATGTGAATAAGTTTTAAAAACCAAAATTTTTAAAACTAAGTCATAAATTCGACTCTACTGGAAGTATTCGCAGAACAAACGATAGAATTTCTTATGGCAAGTCCTTGCCATGCCCTGGATACCTCATTATTAAACTAACTAACTAGTTGGCTTAGGGAACCCAAAGGTTCATCACCGAATTAACCAAAGCCCACAACCAGTCCCTGTCATGCTCCAACAAAATCCAATCGCCTCCAACTCCTACTTCAAATCATTTTTAAATTACCATGGCCGTGCCAAAGAGCCCGAGGTTTGGTAAAATGTTTCGTAACAGGATAGTTTTTTACGATTAAAGGTTGTTAACCTTACGCCTAACCCCCAAACTGGAGGACCACCCCTCGACGGCTGTCCGCCACTGCTTATTCAATATATTTGTTGTTAACTTCCATAACTGGAGGCTGTCCGCCCTTGGTCGTATTTACAGAAAAAACCAAAAATTATAATTCACGTTACACTTTAGTTACAAACCTGTAGATTCTTTGGTGCTGCTCTTTTTCCTAAGTAAGCAGTCTTTACGCGAACCAACATTCAATTTGATTCCTATCTAAATGAGTACGATTCTCTGTTACCATGAAAACTAACGTAAACATCCAAACAACTCCTAACAGCGACCACAACAACCAAGGAAACAACAAACAGTTATTTGATTGTTGCGAGAGGTACTGCTTTCTGATTAAACAGCATCTGGTGCTGTTTTCGCATTGAAAGAAAGAATTATACTGTTTGTTGTGTGACTGGATAACACGTAATTAAAATAAAATAAAAATTGACGGTGGAACCACGGTTCCGGAGAACTTGACGTAAATACGTCTATACGGAAAGGAAGTTTATATATTGGCTTTATTCTAAATATTTCCTTTATACATGCTTTACAATTGAGTAAAGTTTGATTAAGACATTGCTTATTTAACTTGAATTAGTTACGCTTAAGATGGGTCTGTGGTAGCTGAAATATGTTATGAAATTTGTACACTTTAGAGTATCAACATTTCGTGCAAACATCATATCTATACAAGGTAACAACAGTGCCGAGTAAACATGACGTTCCCTAGGTAACCATTGTTGTCGATATGTTGATACGGATCTTACACGTTTTCGTTACACATTTTCGTTCCAGGTTTTCGTTCCACGTTTTCGTTCCAGGTTTTCGTTCCAGGTTTTCGTTACACATTTTCGTTCCACGTTTTCGTTACACATTTTCGTTCCACGTTTTTGTCGAATGACCCTTCCGTATAGACGTATTTACGTCAAAAATATATACACCTCCCACTAGTCTTTTTACAGGAAGAATATATATCGAATATGTAACTGTAACATCTAGCAATTGGCATGTTTAATCTGCGTGTGGTTTCGTTATCTTGGGCTCTAGGACAATGTAACCGCCTAAGACTTTGGGTCGAATGAGGGAGGTTATGATGTGGTAGGCTGGATACTTTTGAGGGTGTGGTTAAAATTGTCGATGTTTTCCTCTAAAGAATTACGCTCGGTAATTCGTGTTTAATACTTCTAAATGCGCTTTGTACTAAACGCGTGAGGAAACTAAGTCCTGATACAAAGAAATCTTAAAACGGAAACGGATTAAAGAAAAATCTGTAGATATTTCCGACTAGAATTGTCCTGCAAATGATCAAATTCCGATTGGAGTATAGTATGGTTTTGATGAACCATAACAACTTAGAAGCGTCCTATGTAAAGGCCACAAAGCACCGCCCTGGTGACGGAGGTAAGTATGACCTCTGAAACGTTGATAAACATCTACCATACTACACGGCACCGCTGTGAAAATGTACTTCCTAAATATTTGTTCCGGGTTCGATTCCCGGATTTATAACTTGTGTTGGGCAAGGCCGTGGTCTAGGCATCACGGAGTTTTCCTCCGGAGCTTCCCCGGTTTCTCCGTGGCATCCCAACAACTACTCCGTTCTCATATTTATCATCATTCCGGGTGCAATGTGAACTCGCCACCATTGGACGCAGCCTGGGCAACGCCACTCGGCGGAAAAGTAGTTCACTACGCCGCAGGACTTCACGGCCAATGACGTAAGTCAAGATTCACAGCATTAAAAAAAATTGTCAGTTATGTTTTCGACCGACATCTTATAAGATACTAATTTATTACTTATGGAAGTACTATGAACAGAGAGAAATTTACTGTTCTTCAAAAGCAGATTTCAGGAATTATAAATTCTGAACATTGTTACCATGGTTACTTTTGTTTGTGTGTGGCTTAACCATTGTGTAGCTTGAGACATAGTTCCGACTTTGGCCACCAGAGTTCAGCACATAACTGGCCTGTTGTCGATGTAATGAGTGGGAATTTGAGTTTTTCACGGCGGTGATCATGAAAATGGTTTTTTCTGGGTTGTAGCGCCGCGTAGTGTGGTAGACGTTTACTATCGTTTCAGAGGTCCTTGCTGCTTCCATCCTAAAGTAGATGGTATTGCTCCATCTATAAATAAGCAATTTTTTTTTTGCTTTGTTTAAATTATTAATTTATCTGTTTGCTAGGAACTTTGATGAAAGTTAATTTTTATTTTATTTTTGAATTGCTGTCGACGTTGGAATTTTAAATTTAAATTTTGAAAATGATGACATTTTGAAGTTTTATAAACTTTTATGTCATGCTCCTAAATGCACATTACACATACCACACGAGCAAAATCTGAGTGTGATGTCTGTACTACTATCTATGAGGACTTCACATAAGCCCAATTAAAGACCCTAATATTGATGATTCACACCATTCTGTTAAGTATGAGGTACATCACTTACTTAAACGAGAAAAAACATTTTATAAAGCATTTGAAATAGAGTTTCAATATTATTTTGTGTAATGTTCGACGCTGTATTGACTGAGCTACTGAAAAAGCATCGTTAAATAACTATAAAAAGTATGGACGAGAATGATTCAAGTTACCATGGATGCTATGCTAGGATATGACGTCAGAGATAGGGGACGGGTTGTGACTTGGTGTTGTTTTAGAGAAGTGTTTGTTTAGTATATTAATAGGATGGAACCGTATGATGTTATCGTTAACCAGCCCGTAGTTATTGATAATGTAAGTCGTTATTGAAAAGTTGCAAATTATGTAAGCAGCTGCATGTTTTCTTAGCAGTAAATATGATTTCCTAAAAAATTTTACAACATCGCCATGTTAGGAACATTGGCAACTCCTTTGTAACTACATTAACATTTTCTGTGTTAATTTAAAACGTTCCTTTCCTTTCTATAATAAATTTCAAATTTCTCATAGATTACTTTGAAAAGTTAGTAACAGCTTTCTTATAGTATACGAAGCATAGCAATAATTGAGAATTCTTTACGTTCACCCTAACCTAATGGCGAGCACTCCTAAAACTAGAATTAGAATATATTGACCTTCCGTAAATCGTTCATTCAAGACAAGGATGTGGAACATGACATAATATGTAAATGAGCACTTTGTACATTAAAATACCAAAGACAAAATTTCAACTCGATACTTATTACAGCTGTTTACATGAATATTCACAGTACTTAATAATTTTCAGTTGAAGTAAATTTTTCTGCATAGTAGGAGTGAGATAAAAGATAACCTCTTAGTGCTGGGTTAAATATGTGTGTCATGATTTAAACTTTTTATGCTAAGTGGAAGAGTATTGAATAATTTTATCCCTGCATAGAAGTATCTTTCTGATAACTAGTCAGGTTAATTCTTGGCTGATGAAGATCATGATTATGCCTTGTATTTGTGTTTTGTGGGTCACAATTTGTTTAGAACTGCTCCATGTTGTCCACAACAAAAGACAGTAATGAGAGTAGAAATTCACTCATAAGGGAGAATATGTTAATTTCTTAAACATTTCTCTGCAAGATACTCTTGTGTTAAAACCTGCCAATAGGGTGTGGGGCTAGGTTCATTAATCGCCCTGATGACGGAGGCAGTATGACCTCTGAAACGTTGGTAAACATCGACCAGACTACACAGTGCAACAACCCAGAAGACAGAAATCTTCAAAATCTTTAATTTCGAAAGAGTATGAAGTAAACTATTTGGTGGCAAAGAACGAAGTTTGTTTGCATTCTGAGAGCCATAGCCAACGCAGCACGGAAGTAAAGATTCCAAAAATTATGTTTTAATTAATATTGATTTGTTTGTTTCAGGGTTCAGGGGTGATCAAAGCAGGTTTTGCGGGAGACCAGATACCAAAATGCCGTTTCCCAAATTAGTAAGTTGATGATGATTTATTCATACTCCGTACATCGTTTGTTTGGAAAAGGCCATATAAATTTAATACAAAGTCAGTAAACTCCCAGTTATCCAGTTTGCAGATTATACATGCATGACTTTCTTTTACTGATTTTGAAGCTTTTGAGTAAGTAAAGTTTTCTGTGGGAGGGCTACCAACCCTCGAACCCGGCTAGAACATGTAGAAGGATGAATACTGAAACAGGCCCTTTGGTATAGGCCCGAAAGAAGAATAGATCCTAGAAGACTATGTTAAAGATGTTGGTTCACTGTGCACAAAAGTGGAATAATTATCAGCAGGAGAAACTGTAGAATCTGAGAAATCCTTTTCCAGTGATACTTCGTCCATCACAAATCTCACTTGAAGTCGGCTGGGATTGAATCCAGGTCTCCACAGTGAGAAGCCAGCCAGAGTTAGTGCGGGGGTCTCGTTCACATTAACCCATTGCAGTTCACAGTATAGTGAAGGTGAAGTTTGAAGTGTACCTTGCTTCCTCCACTCACCACGTATGGTGTTGAGTGTTTTTACGCGTGTTATCAACATTGAAAAATTTATAAAGAATTTTAGTCAGAAAACCTGTAGGGAAGACATAGATGGGAAGATAGTATTAAAATTGGTCTGAAGGAAATAGAGGATGGGAATGTAGAATGAATTCATCTGGCTAAGAATAAGAATAATTGGCAGGCTCTTGTGAGCATTGTAATTAAACTTTTGTAGAAGGTGGGGTGCCAACGGTGGTCTAGCGGTTAGAACGCTGGCCTTGTAATCCTGGGGTCTCGGGTTCGATTCCCGGCGGTGCCCGAATTTATAACTTGTGTTGGGCAAGGCCGTGGTCTAGGCAACACGGAGTTTTCCTCCGTGGCATCCCAACAATTACTCCATTCACACACAGAAGAAGGCAATGGCAAACCACTTCTGGATCATCTGCCAAGAACGTATATGAACAGGTCCCAGTCCGAGAAAAGGATGGAAGGATCCTGTTCATATGGACCTGTCCTCAGACAGAACACTAATAATAATAATAAAATAATAAAGAAGGTGGGGAATTTCTTGGCTATGTGAGCAGTTTTTATCTTTGCTTCATGGACTAATTTGTGTTTTGTCTAAATTAGGTAACAAGAAAAAACAATTGTTTGTCATGGGAAAAATTAGATATATTTTTTTGATAAATATTAACTAGTTTGGAAAATGTTTTGTGTAAAAGTTTCACATTTAATGAAATTAATATTTTATATTTGTACTTAGTATTGGACGGCCAAAGCACATCCGCGTGATGGCTGGAGCGCTAGAGGGAGATCTGTTTGTTGGCCCTAAAGCTGAAGAACATCGGGGTTTGCTTAGCATCCGTTACCCAATGGAACATGGCATTGTGACAGACTGGAATGATATGGAAAGGATCTGGCAGTACATATATAGCAAAGACCAGCTGCAAACATTCTCAGAAGAGGTACTTTTTTAAAAAAAAAATTATAATCCGTGTCTTAAGATTGTCTTCTGTTTAATAGAACAGGAAATTTAATATTGGGACCAGCCAGCCTGATGAGTGAGATTTGAGGGTTTTCACGGTGGTGATGGTGATGATCTGGGTTTTGACACCATGTAGATTCATAAGTACCGCCACGGTGGTCTAACAGTTAGAATGCTGGCCTTGTAAACCTGGGGTCCCGGCGGTTCCCGAATTTATAACTTGTGTTGTGCTCTTTAGATACAGAATAGGTAATACTGCATTGCGACCATTCTTTCTTACGTTGTCCTTTTCGCAGCAAAAAGTTCATCTATTTGAGGTGGAATAATCTGTTGTAGGGCTACATATGACTGATGTCAGGGTAGAGAATGGATGACCTCAGGGTAGGTCGGGTATGTTTTTAGGGTTTTACGAGGCTCGTCCACAAAGTAAGTTTCCCTGGGGCCGTTTACAGAAACAAAACACAATTTCATGGAAATATTTATTGCAACAGATACAGCAAGTGTCCAGCTATTTTTCAACATATTCGCCACCGGAATTGAGACATTGGTCATACCGTGGGACCAACTTTTGAATACCTGGGTCGTAGAAGTCTGCCGCCTGGGATTGGAACCACTGTGTGACAGCCATCTCCGCCTCTCTGTCATTCTCAAAACGCTGACGCTGACCGGACAGGAATTTCTTGAGGTGTAGGAAAAGATGGAAATCACTGGGAGCGAGGTCCGGGCTGTAGGGTGGATGATTAAACACCTCCCAGCTGAACTCCTGCAGGAGACTTGCTGTCCGTCGAGCCGTGTGCGGCCTAGCGTTATCACTGACCGCACTTCACAGTCGGCGGGAGCTGGAATAAGAACCTCCATCTTCAACAGCTGCAACGATGCTACTGTGAGAACGCGGGAAGTACCGTTAGTGCATGCGCCATGCTACGTCATTGCTCTATCACGTACGCACAGTTGCTTCGCGCAATATAAGGTTTGCTAGCTGTGGGACGAGTGGGAAACTTACTTTGTGGACACGCCTCGTATATGGTAACAGGCATTGCATCAGAAGAGGAAGACGTGCCAGAGGGCAGAAATTTGGAAGAATTATGGCTTTAATTGATTCAAGGTATGCTGTATGGACTAGTTTAATGTCCATCACTGCTTTATTCATCTGCAGTCACAATTATTCATTTCACCAGTATTAATTTATTATATTCTGCACACTTCTAAATTCTCTCTCCTATTGTTCTAAGCCCTGACATGTGGCAATGTTACCTTCCACTTTATTTATTTCCCGCCGAGATTATAAAACATATATTATGCTGAAATGTGACTGTGAATACATCCTGTCTTTAGAAATACCCAAGAGATAAGTCTCTTTCTGTGTTTGAGGTTTAAACATTGACGTCTGTTACAGTTTGTTAAATCTATTAATATGCAGCTGTGATACGACATTAACCGCTGGTCCCGTAACACGTAAGTGTGAAAGGGCGAATGGGATACTGTTGTCCTCTTGCATAATGACATTATTAAAAGCTTTACATATTTCGAAAATATAGTTTTGTGTGTGATGCGATGTTACGGGTTTTTCCATTTTTCCCTTACAGCATCCAGTACTATTAACAGAAGCCCCTCTGAATCCGAGGCGGAATAGGGAAAAGGCTGCAGAGATTTTCTTTGAAACATTCAATGTTCCTGCGCTCTTCGTATCTATGCAAGCTGTTCTTAGCCTGTAAGTAAAATCTGTGGTCATCTGTACGTTCAAACTGTACCGCTTACACCATTCACTCCCTTTGTGCTATTGAACAGTTGTTTGGAATCCATTTGTGTAAGTTTCAGTAAATTATAAACACTAAGTTCACGTCACGTTTTAGCCCTATGGATCAGTACCCCAAAATTTAAAGAAGTCCTAAATGCTTATTTACATCAGTAAATCATGTTTACTTTTAAAGTGACATACATCCTACCAAGGTAATAAGGCAGATGAGACACGTGTGAGATATGTAATTCGTATCTTACCAGAATGGTTCATTTCTTCTCTGTAGAGAACACTAACTAGGACAGCCCTTTCTGTAGTGCTTATATAGAAACATACAGTAAAATCTCAATTCAAAAAACACCAGTAAAACAAAGTCAATTTCGGTTTTTATCCATTCTGTGGTCACTTCACATTGATATATGACATGTCACAATCATACGAAAGTATTATTAAACAATAAGCAAAGGAACATCCTATGGAAAGTACAGCGTCAGATCGAGACTAATACATATCACTTTCATGTGACACGAAAGAATGATAAAAAAAGTAAGGAAAAAGAGCAAAAGACCATGACACTGAAGCAGAAAATTACAAATACAGTAAAACCTCTCTAAGTTGGACACTTGGGGTTCCACGAGAATTTGTCCAACTTACAGAGGTGTCCAAGATAGAGGGAAGGAGAAAAATCAGATTGTGGTCTAATAATAATATAATCTATTTACGTACGTACACTAACTACTCTAGGCTTACTACAATTAAGAATTAATGACAATAGTATTAATAATAATCTTTTGAAGCCCACTCCCATGCACTGCACATTACACCCCAGCCTCAATAACATTTTTCTAAAGTTAATTCCACCAATTTTCGCTTCCCCATCGCAAAAAGAAACATTCCATTTCTGTTAACGCAATCTGAACTCAAATGCAAGCACAGTACTGACGGAGTTGAAACTGTGTCTTCTGCAATGCATTCCAATGATGGGTTCAATGTCCATAAGATAATCCTCCAGAGAGGAGGCATTCATCAGTCAGAAATTCAAAATAACAAAATATGTAACTGAAAAAGTTTTCTCGAAAAGCATCGAAGTTAAGTGCATGAACCTGTCCAACTGACAACAAAAGGGGTGTCCAAGATATAGGGTATTGTGGACATCTAAAATTATAGGATATTCGCCGGTTCCAATTAAAAGTGTCCAATATAAAGGGGTGTCCAACTTGAGGGATTTTACTGTATCTCCATGCAGTAGAGTCCTTGAAAGCCCAACAGCCACTCAGCTATATTAGGAATATCATATGTACAATAAAGAATGTACAGGATTAACAATTTTAAATATAAGAGCAGATCAGTAACCAGTATGAATAAAATCATCATTAATAAAATCCTCGCTTGAGCAATAACATACGTTTGTGCTTTTCTTTTTAAGACTGGATTGTCTTTGATCTGATTAATGTGTGCTGGGAGTTTGTTATAAAATTTACCTACGGTGATAGTTGACCTGCGTTATGGATTCCCAGTTTTGTATACACACTGATGATGTTCGAAGCTAGGTCTAGTATTATGAGCAAGAAACTTGTTATAAGTCGTACAGTTACCCTTGTCTTTTACAAATAAAATTGTTTCATAGATATACAAAGGAAATAGAGTTCAGATATTTAAACTGTTAAAACTTTACCATCGACAGTCGATGTGCTTCAGCCTCGTTATACCGGTGATATATCACATTTCAAGAACACGATTTTAATTGTTTCAGATATGCCACGGGTCGCACGACAGGTGTCGTATTGGACTCAGGGGACGGAGTTACGCATGCTGTCCCAATTTATGAAGGTTTTGCTATGCCTCATAGTATTATGAGGATTGATATTGCGGGACGAGACGTGTCGAGATATCTCAGGTGTGAATGACCAAGAGGAAATTATTATAGTTTCACATATCGTTACAAGAGTTTTAATTTGATCAATTATAATGTGTGTTCTGTACATAATTTCAGTATTTCGTTTTTCCTTGCGTACTTTGGCATCGTTCCATCTTCGGGTACAGCACGGTCAGTACCCATGAGTCAAGCTGTGGGATGTCACTTACAATCTTTTGTAAGATTGACGCTTTCATTAAATTTACATTCATTATTGGTCATCCCTGTAGAATTTCAATGATTTGCCCAATATTTTTGTGTTACTTTCAGCGCTTCTAATTAGTAATCTATATTCCTTATTACCGTGCCACGGTGGTCTAGCGGTTAGAAGGCTGGCCTTGTAATCCTGGGGTCTCGGGTTCGATTCCCGGCGGTGCCCGAATTTATAACTTGTGTTGGGCAAGGCCGTGGTCTAGGCAACACGGAGTTTTCCTACGTGGCATCCCAACAATTACTCCATGCACACACAGAAGAAGGCAATGGCAAACCACTGCTGGATCATCTGCCAAGAACGTATATGAACAGGTCCCAGACCGAGAAAATGATGGAAGGATCCTGTTCATATGGACATGTCGTCAGACAGAACACTAAATAAAAAAAAAATTACAAGTGGCGCTATTATCGGTGCCAGAATATTGCAGGAAATTTCTAAAGTGCGATTTTAGGGTCGTTCAAAATGACATAAACTTTGTACCAAATTTCATCCAAATCCATCCAACGGTTCTCGAGGTAAATCACGTGGACGGAGAGACAGACATGACAGACCTGTTGATTATACGTATATAATAGATACATGCGGTTTGAAATTATTATTATGCTCGTTGCTGTGACTATTGGTTAAAAGCAAGAGCGAGCAACTTCGTATATTCAGGAGACGCTGGAACAGGGATGGGATTTTAGTCGTCTGCTTTCACTCTTCGGTTTCTTAGGAAATCTTACGCTTTCGGCGGTTACAGCACAAATAGATCACCAAGCTGTGTATATATTATTTTGTAATTCTAGGCCAACCATCAGTTGGCAGGTTTCAGTAAAGTTGAAAAATATAGAAAGGAAATTTTCAAATTTATATTTTTGTCATTTTCATCAGTCACTTTTCTCACAATTATGACTTGATTTTTGAATGTTTAAAATTAAGAAAACTTTGTATCGTTTTAATGTTTTGAGGACAAAATTAACTTCTTCTCTATCATAGATATTGTTGATCCCTATATACCAACTAAATTACTAAAAGCGGTAATGGAAAGTCTATTCCGTCAGCAGAGTCTGCTAATGCGGCCAATGTGCCAGTGTGTTGATATTTTAGTAGAATTGTGGTTTTCCTGGAGGAAACCTTTTCCTTATGTAATTCTAGAAAATTTATTACTTTTCCTTATTTTTAAATTTCCTTGTGTATTTTATTATTTTAAGTGCTTGCCTGTCGTAGTCTACAGCTGTTGGCGAGCACTCTAATTAACGAGTTGTTGTTGTTGTTATTATTATTTATTGGTTTCAACAAATGATCACTTGATGCAAAAAAGATTTTAATTTTCCAAAAGTACCAGGAAAGAGGTGTGTTTGCCCCAGGGTGCCATTTTACTAAGGCCAACTCGGTGCTTAAGTCTTAATTGTGATAATGACATCATGTAGTAACTTTAAATTTCCTGATCATTTTCAAAATGTTATCAGGGAGATTTGAAGTTCATTGGTTTAGAATGAATGTCGCCGACTCATACTTAGGAGGTACCTGGTTTAAATGCTGGACAGTGACTGTCCAGCTTGCTAATGTGATTTTCTTCAGTCATTCCAGATATATGATGAAACTAAGGTACCAGTGCTTCCTCCAAGTTCATAATCATCTTACCATGTGGTTTCCATCACTTTAAAACCTCAGCAGTTGATCCAGTGCCATAATAATGAAACAACTATTCAGTTATCAGCACTGATGTTGAATATTGTTAATGGAGTTTTATAATATGTAACCTTTTCCTATATAGGCTGCTGTTACGCAAAGAAGGAGTTAACTTCCGTACGACAGCAGAATTTGAGATTGTACGAACTATCAAGGAGAAGGCGTGTTATCTTGCAAACAATCCTCAGAAGGAAGAAACCGTGGAAACCGAGAAATACCAATACACACTTCCAGATGGCAGCACATTAGAGGTGTTATTTTGTTTTAATTTTTATATTTAAGACTAGGTAACAAAGAAACGTCATGAAGTTTCTTCAAGGAACGCTGTTGGGAGTTTAGAAGTAAAGAACCCGCTGGGCTGCGAAAATTGTCGATTTTAAAATATGTGTAATTCAAAGAAATGGATTACCACATTCAGAAATACCTGTTTGTGTTCCAAAGGAGCATTTGTGGTTCTGGATTTTAATAATTTGACAAGGAGGCACTTTGAATTGACAAATTGAAGTCAAATAGACCAGGAACTCCGCAGAGTTTGACTGTCACAGCAGCTCCAAGTTGGAATGAGGATAAGAGAGGCATTTTCTACAAAACTTCATGGCACGACATCCCAGAAGACAGTCATCTTCATACTTACAGCTGTGAGAACTTGAAGTCTCACAAGGCCTGTGAAAATTTGTCCAGTACCATTGTCGTCTTTAACTTACCAGTAAGCGTCACAAACAAAATTTGTGCACACCGTTTAAGTAATAACATATGACGATATGTCGATTTTAGGGAAACTCGTGTCCTGTTTACCGTATTTTAAATTCAATACAGGCATAATTGTTGTTTGTGTGGTTTCCGAAATATTAATTATGCAGATCTTTAGATACTTTAGTGAAGTATTTTATGATTCCTTCATCTGTAGATTGGTCCTGCTCGGTTCAGAGCCCCAGAAGTTCTGTTCCGGCCAGATCTCATCGGAGAAGAATATGAGGGTCTCCATGAAGTTTTGCTGTACTCCATACAGAAATCTGACTTGGACCTTCGCAAAGTATTATTTCAGAATATCGTCCTTTCAGGAGGCTCTACGTTATTTAAGGTACTTTGGATTCAGTTCGATTAAATAAAATTGTATATAAATTCTTTGTTGTTATATTAACCTTAAGTACATCTGAGACAACCTGGTCCCATCGCGGATATTTTTGTCTCTGCCTGCAGCTATACACGTATAGAAAAAAGTTGAATTTTGCAATGTAATGCCATAAACATACCGCCACGGTGGTCTAGCGGTCAGAACGCTGGCCTTGTATTCCTGGGGTCCCGGGATCGATTCCCAGTGGTGCCTGGATTTATAACTTGTGTTGGGCGAGGCTGTGGTCCAGGTATCATGTAGTTTTCCTCCGGGGCTTCCCCGGTTTCTCCGTAGCATCCCAACAATTACTCCATTCACACACAGAAGAAGGCAATGGCAAACCACTTCTGGATCATTTGCCGAGGAAACATATGAACAGGTCCCTATCAGAGGGAACTTGTTCATGTCACCAGGGGTCGGCTCCGACCCGATGGTACAAAAAAAAATGCCATAAACACTGGGACCCAAATTGGAGTCCCATCAAATGCATCTAACATTCTCCATAAGTGAAGCTTCAGTATGTTTGTGTTCACAAAATTATTACACTTGCACATTATAAATATATTTTAATGTAAATTTGCTTGCTGTATGATATAATCATCTATATCTTTCCAGCGCTAGGTGACGATTTCTGTATGCACTGTTAGTGTTAAGCTAGCAACGAGGTTTTCGTTTTATGTTACCTGGTCATGTATTTTTAATTTATTTATTCCAGGGATTTGGTGATAGACTGTTATCAGAAATTCGAAAATTAGCTCCAAAAGACATGAAGATAAGGGTAAGTTAAGTAACGTATTTTCTTCACTCCCATGTTTATATTATTTGAATAACTCGTGTTTAAGGGGAAAATTCACGTGTTTACGAACGTTATGGTAATATTTCTGTTTTAGATATCAGCACCCCAGGAACGCCTATACTCTACTTGGATTGGTGGCTCAATCCTAGCATCGCTTGACACGTTCAAAAAAATGTGGGTATCGAAGAGGGAATATGATGAAGAGGGACAACGTGCAGTCCATCGGAAGACATTCTGAAGTGATGCGGATTGGACATCGGGTGCTGTCATCGCGATGTAGACGTACGGCTTTGGTCTTTGTAACATATGGACAAAGTAATTGTGCCTCCTCAAATATGTGACATTACATTAGTATCCATGTTGCTCGTGATATCCTTAATATTTGCTTGTTGTAAGTGTTGACTTTCCCTTGGGGATCAGAGCTTCGTAATCATTCTGCAGAATAAAACTGTCACGGTAATAATTTGGGTCTGTGATAGATGCTTTGCGAAAGAAACATTAGTCAAGAGCAGGCATGAAACAATACTGAGAGCAAACTGAAATGTTTAATTTGTATGATGCACATTTCATTAGCTGAAAATAGTTTCTTCCACATATGCAAATATGTAGAGACAAGAATTTGATCTAATTTGACCTGTTTATCAGGTCTATAGTAATGATCTGTGTTTCGTTTTCAACTTCCCTTCTAAATCTTTACATAAACATTTCAAAGTCATTCTTTTTTAGGGAAGCAATTAAATTTAAAATTTCCCTCTGTTATGGGATACTGTCATTGGGAAATATCATAAACAGTAAAATATGGGACCTCCCCCTGGTGGACCGTGCGGCCCCGGACCTCCGGGTCCTCCAGGGGTCCCAATCCGATTTCCCATAAAAATATAGGAAATCGGTATGACACGATGTAACACGTTAAAAGTGTAAGCAAGACCAAGACCGCAAGTTAAATGCAGTTTGGTGAGGTTAAAAAGTAGTGAAAGACATGGGAGGAAGAAATTATGGGGTGGCTAATTGAGCTGAATTTTTCCATTATTTGCTGTGCTGCACAAAACCACTTTGGTGTTCAAATACATTAGTAAAAACGAAACCGCTTTTAGCTTTTTAAACTGTAGCAGGGTTTTTTTGTATGCTGCTACAGCTGTTTGGCAGACCATGTATAATGAAATTTTTCGCTTCCAGCAAATACTTGTTCACATTTATTTTCACGCGCACGAAAGAATCCCTGTTGAAGAACGGTTTGCTGTATATCAGTTTCGTAGAGGCTTTTTAGTGCAATTGCAGAATGGCTTGAAGTTGTGAGTCCGGTTGGATGCGTGTTAGGTTAAATTATCTAAAGATCAAGTTACCAAAAAGGAACCAACTTTTAAAACAAGTTTGTATTGAAGTTAAAGCCATGACGCAGAGTACAGGATGGGGACCCCTGGAGGAGCCGGAAGCGCAGGAGGTCCAGGGCCGCACGGTCCACCAGGGCGAGGTCCTGGAGGAGATCCCATAATCATAGGAGGCATAGATTTATCTCGTCGTACCATAAGAGGATACAGCGAGCGCATCCGTGACTTGGCTCTGGAGAATCCTCTTATTGTAGGATTGGTATCCGAGGCATTATATTGTCGAAACATCTCCATTGGAAAACATCAGGACCCCATTCTTGCTTCCCTAAGAAAAAAACCTGTAACTAAAACTTAGGCACCGTTAACAACCCAATTCTGGAAAAGGATGACGTTCGGACAATCTAAAGAGAAGCCAAGGCTACACTGAAAGGGCCGTAGTGCTAAAGAAGAAGAAGAAGCAGAATGGCTTCAGTGACTTGCCATGAATTTTGTTTGCTTTCGTTAAGTTTTCTTAGGGTTTACAACTAGTAATTAGTCTTAAATGAGTCTCTATCACATTTTCAGGAGGTGCGGTGTTCAACACGGAAACCTTAATTTCGCATCCGTTATAAACAAGTAACCAGTCTGGCTTCTTCTTCCTAAAGTTGTTTCCACGCTTGTTCATGGCTGTTGGAGATTCCTATGCAAAATTTTATGTCTTGGGGGTGCTTATTGCATCATACCACCCTGATGATGGAGGCATTAGGCACCTCTGAAACATCGGTCTGTTTCAACCAGATTACAACTTCCATGATCACAGCCACCTTCATACTTGCCACCATAAGAACCCGAAATGTCCCCGAGGTTTCTTTTCGTGCATAGCATCTCCTCCTCGTATGAAAATTAAATGAACTGAAAAGTGTGATAAAAGTCTCATTCCAAGAAGAGACATCAGCAACAGCTTTGTGAAGATATATCTGCGATGTTACAAACTTTCATCAAATTCACAATTAATTAATTCATTAATTATCCTGGTCCTGTTTGATCTATTTCACATCAAGCGTTTGGTGACAGAACAGAAAGTCAAACATGCGTGTTACATATAGAGCATAATAATAATAGGAATTACCTTCTTCTTCTTCTTCGGCTCTCTGGTCCGTATTCGGTCCATGGCCTCCTCAATTCTCCTCTTCCATTCGGTCCTCTGTTAGGTCCGTCTGTCCGAGGCTTCGATCGAGGTTTCGAAACATCTTCCTTTTTACGGCGCAAGGTTGTTAGCCTTGCGACCAACCCCCAACCTGGAGGACCAGGGTACCTGTCTTAGTCTGACCTCTCCCCCTCGACCAATCTGGCTAGGGAGGCCCTACCAGTAGCTCTTTGGGTCACTGAGGTACTCAAGCCCCACCACCACGACAAGGTGCAGGTACCATTAAGTGGGGGTAGGAATTACCTGTAAAAGGTTATTATCGCCATCATAATATGATATGGTAATATACAGGTAACTATTATGTTGAGAAACATATTCATTCCATTAGCACGTTATCTATTCAGCTCAACATGGTAGTGTACTAGAAGAATTATCTGGATTACAATTTGCAGTTTCTGTTTTACTACTCAAATATTATTCATGCTGTATTATTTTAATTTAATGTATATGGCACTACTTTAATTTATAAATGTTTACTAATTTATATAAGAAATTGTTTCTCTTTGTATTAAATTATGAAAGAATTTAATAGTTTCCATTTTTATAAAATTGCTGTATCCTATCGGTTATGAAGGGAATTTCAGAAGTCCCCAGTGGGTGTCGAGTGCATGCTACAGGCACAGCAAATCAATGCAAATGATATGACATTTATTTTCTACGTTGCATAATTGTCAACGTAGTTACGCTATTGGCGAAGTAGATGATCGCTTACAGTACTGTCGGTCGTTATGTGTTCTCACGGCCATGTTGATGGCATCTGTAGATTTTGACTTGTATTCCCAGAGTATCTCTTTCATCTGAGCATATAAATGTTTTCTAACACTTGTTATTGAAATGAAACGTAATTATAGGTCTCGGGGGAATAGGGAGGATCCCCAGTCTAGAAGTAATGCCAGAGTTACGGGGCATTCACTCATGAAACCATTACACATACTTGCCATCTCACAGGAAACTTCCGAAGTTCCAGAACCATAATGTGAACAATAACTAGCAACAATTCTGTTCTACCCAGCTATAATTTTAGGTATTTTTTATATATTTATAATTTATTTGACGATGCTTTCAGTATCTCAGGCAAGAAATGTCGATTGAGAAGACGTGGAAGGAAGCAGTCATGGCCTAATTTAAGGTATCCTGACAGTTGTGTGGAGGGACTAAGGAAAACTGTGAAGAGCCTCAATTAGTCAGTCTTTTGACTGATAGTTGAACCCAGGACCTCCTGAATGCAAAGCAGGAGTCTTAACCACATCTGGTAAATCATTTTAGAGCAGGCTACTCTTTTAGCCCTAGCATTTGTGGTATTTTGGTTTACTACGTAACATTTAGAACTATTAAGCTATTGTAAATGAATTTTATTGAATATAGTAAAGTGTAACAGCAGTTATCAGTATGAAGACATACTGAAGTAGAAGCTGCCAAGACTTCTTATATTCACTGCAAAATACAATGACTGGCAGCAAGTTTGTGCAATTTTGTATAAGAAGCCCCCAGACTATTAAGTGCTCTCTGCTTCTATACATAGTGTTTTATTATCTTTATGTTTATTGCTCCAAATGTATCAGTTTCCTTACACTTGTATATTTGATTGTATGGAACCCGAAGGTTCATCGCCGTGTTCACTAAAACCCTCGTATACAAGATGAATCATTGCTTTTCTCAGAAAATGTCTGTTTACTTGTAAGAAGCTTATAGAATGTAATCTTCGACACTCGTAATAGATAATTCTCTATTAACAACGCCCTAATTTCATGTTAAATAAGTGCAACAGATGGTAAAAATTCTTGTCTTTTCCTTTCACAGGAGGATTTATATGGCCTTTAAAAGTGAAAAATGAGAAACTAATAACATAACCGTATTTACTTTTGTTCGTTTCATTCCCATCCCCTCCCGTTTCTCCACGTACCCTGAATGAAACGGCTCTTCGCCTGTTGAATAAATGGAATACATTTCTAGAAACATTCGATTGTTTGTTTCTATCGAATTATTCGAATGTTATTCATATGTTGGTATTAGTTATACACTGATTATTTAGAATGCGATTTTTATGTTCGGGTCTATGTTGGTACAAAAGCGGTTCTAGTCTAGTAAGACGTGTGGCGTGTGTTATTTATTTCTAATATAGAACTGATAAATTGTATACTGCAAAGATTAGAAGTGTTTTGGCTTTAATTTTTCTAACTGGCAATTGTATTCCTAATAGTATTTGTTAAGAACATGTTTTATTTTTTCCAAGTTATTCAGTTGAACTTTGGTCGGATGCCGTGGACATCTTGTTAAACGTTGCTTTCTTTCTACTTGGTTGATTAATTTATTAACGGAAAGCTGATTGTTGAGAGAACAGTATAACACAAACAAGGGCTTTATCTTTTGCTGTCTATGAAATCATTCATTGTACCCAACATAATACACCGAAATTTCCATCAACCTGTTTGTTCCGTGCTGAAATACAGAGCATTCTGTTTATCACGTGCTTGGAAAGTGAGCTCGGCCAGTATTACGCCGATGCAAGCTTGAATGGTGCGCTCTCTTCCAGTGAGTTTAACCGGTCAGATCAGTTGCAGTATTTCTCTCGTAGTAGATTGACGTTGTTAATATGGTATACAGCACCAAACAACATGTGTTCTTAGTTGAAACAAATGCTATTCATCCTATGGAAGGTGCCGCTGTGTGCAAGTGTTCGTAGCAAGTGCATGATAGGTTAGAAAAAAAAAATTCGTGTACGGAACCAGTGATGGATAAAAAGAACAGGAAACGGAGTGTATTAACAGAAGAGGAAATAGATGGGATTGGGGCTTTCTTAGAAAAATAGTCCAAGGAAATCTTCGACTCGTTTAGCTACACAATTCGGGGTGTCATTGGTATCTACTCGCACAGCAACGAGACTTTGAAATTGTGAAGAGACATGAAACTTGCCTGCAAGCACAGGTAAGCCACTTTGAACAGCTTTTGTGATTTAATGTAAGAACAGTCAATGTAATAGCATGTGTTAGTGACGAGAAATATTCGTTGTTCGCTGTTACTTTCTTGAAGAATGGCTCGCAATTTCTCGGTTACTGAGCCAGGTTTTTCGGGAAGACTTCCGACGGGCTTCCGGCTGCGTCAAATTGGACCAGTACGAACCTACTTAATTTCAATTATAAATTATGTATGCTCCTACTGTAAACAAAAAAATATACAATGTCATACATAAATCACTTTATTTGCAGTGATTTATGAACGATGTATTACCATTATCAGACTGCATAACCGTAGAAAATGTTGATTGACAATTCACTGAGAACTGTATACAAATTTGATTTTGTAAAGAAAAGGAAGATAATGCATATAAGATTTAGAATTTTCATGGCGCATGAATGTTATAAAATCGTCTTGGACGATCGGTTGTGTCAGAACCGAGTTGAAAACCAACGTTTCTCCACTGTCAGGGTCAATGTGAGGAAGGTTAGGTCAAATTGTGTGAGCATGATCCTTTGTTTGTTGCCCAGTGTCTTTTCCAGCCACCTTGAAACATACTCTGTCTAATGACATTCGTATGATTAAATCATTTTCTTAAAACGCATTTCGGAGATGCAGTAAAAATGACGCCATCGCAATGGATTTGTGAAAGTTAAGAAACCCGAGGTATGACAAAATTGGTTAGATTGAACCAGGGCGTAATTTCACCTTTTGGGGGCGAATGCCCTTGGGAGACAGAATGAACCTCGAGAAGGGAACTTCACATGCAACGAAAATACTTTTTTGATATTCATTTTGAAGTTGTAGCTGTTCAGCCGTGTCAAACTTTCCAGTCATCTCGAGGGCCGAATCATTTTTCTTCAAATTTCGTCTTTGGGAATGGGCACGGCTTTAGAATTTCGTCGAATGTTTTCTGGAAAATGCTTCATGCTGCACGGCACTCATACCTAAAACGCTTGTAATTACTGATCTGAGAAATTGGCGATATGACAGACGGAGACTGATTTGTTGACAGGCGGCCGCTAAGCCAGTGACACTAAATACTTGACACTCCGAAAATATATTGTACCCGTGGTCAAATTTAATCGTGGGTTTGACGGTTACGTTATAGTACACACACACACACACCATAGGGTACGATCCTTCCTTCTTGGGTACGAACATCACTGAAATTTTCCACTGGTAACAACAGATAGGCTTCAAAAGAATATGAGTGATTACCGATCTGGTTATTTGCAGGTGAACAATTTGGATTTAGAAATTTTTTTTACAACTGATAATTCAATTTTACAGATGAAATCTTAAGTGCACTAAATAATAAAGTGTATGTTGATGGAATATCTTGTGATCTTGCTAAAGCATTCGATTGTGTAAATCATGAATTATTACTATTAAAACTAAATTTTTATGGAATTCAAAATATAGCTGGCATACCATCATGACAGAAAGCAACAAGTACTAATGAAATCATCAAATTCAAATGATAGCACCGACTCAAATTGGGGCGTTATAAAACATGGAGTGCCTCAAGGTTCAATACTTTTTCTCGTATAAATCAACGATCTGCCCCCAACCATCAAATCTCAATCTAAATCTACACTCTTTGCTGACGATACTAATATTATTATTTCATATCCAGAAATTGACTGTTTTAAAAATTTCATAAATGATGTCTTTGCTAGATTGAACAGATGGATTAAAGCCAATAAACTCACATTAAATTTTGACAAAACAAATTCCATGAAATTTTGTACTAACAACAGAATTTGTGTAAAACTAATTATAGGTTATCATGATAAAATAATCGGGGAACTAAATTTCTTTGGCCTGTAAATTGACAACAAATTAAGCTGGAAAAAACATATTCAATACATTATCCCTAAACTAAGCTCAGCATGTTTTGCTTTGAGGACAGTTTCAGCACTCATGAAAATAGTAGTTTATTTTGCTTACTTCCATTCCATCATGTCATACGGAATAATTTTCTGGGGAAATTCAACGGACAGCAAAAAAGTATTTTACATTCAAAAGAGGATCATTAGAATAATGGCAGGTACTAAAAGGAGAGCCTCTTGCAGGTAATTATTTGAAAAGTTTAATATTCTTCTACTACCCAGGGAATTCTTGCTCTCACTACTATCATTTGTAGTGGATAACATGGATAAATTTCAAACAAATTCAGATATCCACAATATAAGAACAAGATACAGATACAACCTTCATGTGCCGAATTCTAACCTCACTAAATATCAAAAATGTGTTTACTATACTAGAATTAAGTTATTCAATAATCTTCCAACTATCAAAAGTTTAAATCACAATATAAAAATGTTTAAGCCAGCATTAAAAGAATTTACATCACCTAAAAAGTCTCAACTATTATAAATACCATCTAGTGCCGAGGTTAAGAAAGAGAGGAGCTGTACCTCCACTTACCCCAAGCGCCTACATGGCGTATAGTGGGACAAACCTTACTTACCTTTATTATAAATACATGTCAGTAACAATGGTGATGGTTTCTTATCATGATTATTTTACTGTAAAACTGTATTTCCAAAAATCTGTAAACAGCTCTCGTATCTTTGTATTTATATTTGTGCTAGAAACAAGTAATGTATTTGTGCTATGACCTGTTCTACGTCATTGGCTTAAGCCTATGAAAGATCTATGGAATGTATATAAATTCTATTCTATTCAATTCAGATTTGAAGATAGTCCTCAGTGCAATAAATCATATTACTCGTTCAGCTGTGTAACAGTTGGTAGGATTTGAGGTTATCACGGCACAACAACCCAGAATACAGCCATCTTGTGTGTAATTGTCATTTTATATTAAAACTGTATTTATACAATTAACAGAGTGTAAAGCTACAATACAAATTTATTAACACTGTTCCCATAATAATATTTAGTGCAACACAAGGCAATCAACTTTTGGAATGGTTTACAATTAAAAGCAGTTTTGATAGTGAGAAATTAAATATGAAAAACTGAATAATTCACATGTAATCAATGAGAATCAAACTATCTGATATTACAACATTAACCAAGAGACGATGCTTGTAACAGCCAAACACGTCCTAACCCCATTCCAATATTACAAAACTCAATGGAGAAGAAATCTCCTTGAGAAGATGATACTCTCCTCATCAAGAAATTTCTTGCCTCGTATGAAACCAAGACGAAAATGATTTTAATGTTCACAATAGCAAACCACTGGACCCCATCCTAAGTTCATTACGGAGTTACGTTAATAATTCTTTGTTTGCATTAATATATTTCTGCCATAATCAAAACAACTAAAGATGACCAGCCTGTGAATGGTCTTGACCTTTGCCCCTGTCCTGTTTTATCATTATATTGCTCCCAAATGTACCCTGTTCTTCTATATTCCTTAATGATATTTTTTATCAAATTTTGCTTCAGTTCTTGATAGATAGTCTTAGCTTTTTCTCTGTATGGACTATCTGTTTTGCTGTAATGATCTAGTGCTCTCACCACCATATAGTTGAGGTTAATCCAAATTGGACCCCGCCAGTAAGGAGGGTCATGCTCTGTGTTCCTCTTCATATACAGTGGTGCTGTTTTTGCTAGAGAACGTAAGCCATAATTTGTCCATAAGAGTTCCGGATTTATTAAGTCATCTAATACCTTGTTAAGTTTGGGAGACGCAGGATCCAGAATTTGTAAAAGAAAGGGGAAGAGACTAACATAACCAAAGGAGGAATCAACGAAGCGCAGTTCTGGGTCCTTCAAAACCACTCGAATTTTATCGGTATTTTGAGGAACTTGATGCCCTGGTGGTGACTTTGGAGGTGGAGGGTGTTTGAGGACAACAGCATCTGTATGCAGCCCGAAGTCCGCGTAAGATTGAGTGCGGGGAGACCAGTGTAATTCATTCAAGAGACTGTTATCTGCTAGGTAGTCATATGTGTTGCCATATTTCTGACCATTTCGATTAAGAATTCTGGCAATTTCTGAAATTGTGGATGCTGCCAGTGTTATCCAGCAGCGAAGGTCTACATGACGTTCATTCATGTCAGGGTGAGAGGCTCGTGGATAATCATCAAGACCTGACGTTAAAGTTACGGGATTCAATTCTCTCTTTGTGAGAGCATCTCTCCCTCTCCACCGATATGATCCAGACAAGTCACCAATTTGAGTCCCATTGAACCAGTCAAACCACGCTTGAAGTCGAGGATAGAGACGCTCTAAAGTTCCCAAATGACCTTCCTTCTCTGTCAATTTATCTGCAAAGTTCTGAAGTATAAAATGTAAAGTTAGAAAAAAGGTTGGTGGATTTGCATTAGTGTTTCTCTGTGTCACAAATTGTTCCGGAACTTTGCTCAGAGCTTCCTGACCCAAAATCTGCTCTCTTGGAATCCAACCTTCTACATTCATTAGATCAAACCAGTGACTGATGATGTCTAATTCTATATCAAGATCCCAGGATGATATCAAGAGACCATGGAATCCTTCATCCCACAGAAATCCTCTCGGGAAGAAACTCCTTGATGGAACCGCAGAATACAGTGGTGCTTTCCAGTATGGTACTGGACCTCTTGTATATGATGACTCAACCCTTGATGCTCCATAGAAATAACCCACACCACCAAGCAAATTACTGAATGCCGCTTTTGCAAATGCAATTTCATCAGGCTTGTACCCTTTTGCCTCAAGTCTGAATTTTTCTTCAAATTTATGGTGGAAATCATCCTGAAGCCGGCTCAGTTCTCTGCTGTATGCTTCCCCAATAAGACTTCCTGGTCGGTCGAAGTAACTTCCAGATTCAAATGCCATTTCGAGTTCAAACGGCACTCTGGCCGTTACTTGTGTGACCACAAGGTTGGGCTCTGCTCTCTTACCTTCAGCACCAGATGATGGAAGTAATTCTCCTGGCAAGATAATACGTTTCTGAATACCTTTCTGGGGATCTGTGATCACACGCAGAGATGTAATAACAGTCTCTTTCAGCACATGAAGGCCCTCAGTAATTGTGCTAAGATATGATACATCTTCCACTTGACCAGAATGATTGTAAAACTTCACAGTAAATGCCCCCAAACCATCTGTCTCCCCAGTTACACCAGTAAGCAGCTGATTTCCGAAACGACTTGGTTTAATCCAACCCTTGGTCTTTTCTTCAATGGCTGAATATAAAAGAAACGATACGAGTTCATATCGCATTTGACTGCCTTGGGATGTTACACTGATTCTTGCTGTCCAGTCACCTCCACGACGTCCTCCAGGTTTCTTCACGAAAGATGTAGTAATTTTAAATGGACCATCTTCTATCTCTTGAACTCCAAAAGTTCGTCCATCATGTTCTATCCAGCCATACCGATCCAGATTATCTCCATCCTCACACCAATGTCTGTCAATTGAAAATAACGTGTAAAAAAACACAACTGGTCCTTCCCTTAATTTTTGTTCACTGATGACTGATTAGAACAGACTACTAAATATTCTTGATCTTGTACAATGAAAAATAGAAAACTGGAGATAAGCTACTTTGAAGTTTCTGACACATAATCAGAATGCTTAATTCAGCATAATTTATTTTCCTATAGTTCACTACAATACAAAGAATTGTAGTGGTCTACGTCACATACGTTCCCTATCCATTTTTTACGTAGAAACCAGCGAAAATTCTTCAAGTGTTAAAAAGTTTGGGAAACATTGAACTAGAGAAACTAAGAACACCAACTCCGACACCCAACACTGGCCAAGATCTGAAAATGGTAATTTCCAAATCTATGCTCAACGATCTATCACAGAAGATGTCTAGATTCATTGTATACAAAAATTAAAAAAGAAAACATACAGCATGAAGATGAATGTCTTCTAGGATGTTACACCACACAGTCTGGTGGAAGAAGAGAAACACTTCAGAGGTACCTACTGCCTCCATCACCAGGGCAATGAGTAAGCCACATGCAAACAAGTTTGTTTAGATACAGCAGCTGCTTGGCCAGACCAATGGGTGAGGAGTACAGGAGTGAGGACCCACACTCTGGCCTGATTGAGGAGAGTGAGCTAGAAACATGGAGGCATACAGAAAATACAATATGTGAAATAAGAACAGGACCGAACTGAAATAAAAGGAAAATATACACTCATAAAAGCATAAAACTAGGTAAATTAATACAAGGAGGAAAAAATATACTTGTAATTGTATAAATTTTTATTATTTATCCTATTTTTTGTTCTTTCTTATCCTCATTCCACACATTGCATTTTTTTGTCTACCTCCAATGTTCTAGATCTCCCTCCTCTCTCTGGCGAGACTGCAGGTCTACCCTATCGCCTTTCCCCACTCCAATCCTCCACCCCCTCACCCACTGGTCCAGTAAAGGATGGAGAAGGAAAGGTTACCAAAAATGACTATGAACGGCAACCAAAAGAGAGAAGGAAGAGAGGAAGACCAAGACCAGGATGGAACGACAGAATTACAAGAACCATGATAGAGTAAAAACTACCTCTGGAAGGATGGAAAAATATTGAAGAATGGAAGAAAATATTAGGCACCGGAAGACCGAAGTAACGGTCAAGAAATGGAAGAATAATAATAAAGGGTACAAATATATTAGATGTCAAATTTGTAGGGCATTTCCATCAACTATTTCTGGGAATGGACAGCTATGAAAATTCCCCCAAAGAATAAAGACCATGTGACTTGCTTCCAGAGCCTGACTATATCATGACCATAAGACGAGGGCAACTACGAATAACTTTTTCTTTGCAAAAAAATAATGACCTAAGAAAGCCCACAACGATCGTGCAATGTTTGATTACAATCATATCAACCAAGATTGAACCCAAACATTATCTGTTACCAAGTCCAGGCCCAGCCAATAGTTGGAGTCGGGCTAAGGCCCGGACCCATGCAAACACATACCAGACTTCATGGTGCAACAATCCAGAAGACAAGACATCTCCAAGCATACAGCAAGTCAGAAATGAGTTCTTTCATAACAAAACACATCTCTGCTAACTGGCAAATAATGAAAGACTGGTCTTGAACAAAAATTTAATTTTCTTAACAGTTCTTAGTGGATGTTAACTATGCACAATTTCAACAGAATCAGCAACATGATAATGTAGAAGACAAAATGATTGACTATCTCAGTCAAAAACAGACCTTTCTTCAACAAGTAATAATGTAGGTTTCCTGATTACATTTTGTCAGAATCTTCCTCAGATGCAGTTACTTCATTAACGAAGGCAGACGAGCTGAACCTTACATGTGCTATGCAATTTATTATCAATGTGTATAAAAATAAACAGAATGTGATCCATGCAGAAACAAATGTAAGGAATAATATTCATTACTAAAGCATCACCTACTTCATAAGTAGTCAGTGTAAAAAGTTTCAATCAGTACGAGTCACAATTAGGACCAAATTTAAAGAAATTATAACTCTGAAATGGATGAAGTTGTGTATATGATACAAAGCATATTTTATTGATGCAAACTTCAAGCTTTCATACTGCCCAGTTTGGTTTCCAATATCTACAGCAGATGGCACTGGTCGTCGCATTGTAAAAAAAATTAGTGGATTTCACGACCAGGGAGTGCAGCGTGTGTGTTGTGGTTTGGTGAATATCTGTCTGTGACTGCTGTGCAACGTAATTTCCAATGAAAAGAAAAAAAAGCATCCCATGCACAAGTCAATTTTATTACGACATATTTCATTACAACTAACTGCGTGGTGAAGAATCATCTTTCAAAATTAATCAAATGTAATAAAACCTGACATTATTTTTAAATAAGAGCAGAAATTGCCCTTTTTTTATTTATGCCTCTTTTAATTATTTTTAAATTTATTTTCTTCTTATGGAAAATGTTCAATATTAATTATTGACTTTTTACATTTAGGATGGAATGTAACCAAGTTATAACACACTTATTTCGCTTTGTATTTTTAACTAATGTAATTACCATACAGGAAATAACAAGACTGTTCCTGAAACACTTTTATAGTTTACATTTTGTCCCACATGTACCTTCCTATTGTGCAGACCTGTTATACATAATTCATCATGCCACGATCATGAACACAGAACAGCAGCTATTAGATATCTTATCCACAGACTCACAACATACCCACATTCACAAGCAATTTTCTAACTTTGATTGATTTTAGTGACACAGCCATGTTCCACACCAGTGGCAAGGCGAATAGCACAAAGTCCACATCTCGGCAAAAATGATCCACAGGTTATCACGGAGAACAAATCTGACAGCAAAAGAGGTGAATGTATTTCGTGAAATGAGCCAAAAGAAATTTTATGGACCATTTTTCTTTTGTGAGAAGACCGTAGCTTGAAGTTACGCAGTTCCCCAACAGTCAAGTAGGCCCAATAACATGGCCCCCAAGATTTTCTCCTGTTGGGCTCATCAAGGATAAGGTGTGCACACACCCTTTACTGAGCATCACAGAGGAACTCAAGAGTCAGCAACGCTGCAGCTGTCACAGACGCCAACAAGCTACTCACATGTGCCATGAACTCAGATACAGATGACATGTTTGTCGTGTCACTCACAGCAGACATAATGAGCAGAAATAAGAAATCTAAATTGTAAAAGCAAACTTGAAGTTTGCACCGATAAGACGCGACGTGCTTCATATTATATCTGCAGTTTAATTCATCTGTGTTATAATTTCTTTATATCAAGACTTGCGACTCACTCTGTATTCTGAAGTTCTTGCAGTTAACATTTAGAGAGAACTCGTGACTATTAAAGGACTACAGGAACTCAGAATTGAAAGTAAGCTTATGTCGAGACTGTGACAAGAAATGTTCACCTTATTCCGCCTCCATCTGGATGCAGTTGGTGTGGGAAGTACCACATCAAACCTGTGACAAGAGAATAAGGATCTCTCGTCTTCATTCCAAAGTACAGACCTGGACGATAACTACCCCAGTAGCGATCAGGAACATCCAGACCTGATTTTATCACCATCTATAAGAATATATGTCGGTAGCAATTCTGCGTAACAATGCAAATGGTATGCGAAACAACTTGATGAGAAATTAGCGTACTGCACATACCTTCTGTTCGTCAAATGGTGTATTGACACGTGTTTCCAAGTACCCCATGTATCCTATTACTCCTGCAATTACAAGGCAAATAACTACCAAGCCTTGCCTCCAGTACAAAAATATTCCACCATTCACCTGAGTCTTTGACGGACTCTTCTTTGAATGTCTTGAGTTCGTGTGATCTACAGGAAGAGGTTTGCGTTGTCTAGCCATGCCTAAAACCTACAACACACTTTACCAATAATAATGCTAATACTAAACATTGTGCTACAAGGCATATTAAATATATATGTACAGCCCAACTCAATTTAAACCATAACCATAAGACATATCTGTCTATAAAGTTTAATGACTTGGGAAGTTAAGAAATTGCTATTACAGATTGCCCAGTTTATGGAGATGATGAAACCGGACGATTTGTTACAATTAATTGTATTTACGTCAAAAAATAATGCATAATTTCTGCTTATGTGCAAGCAGTTGTAACTCTGTGGTAATAAATACTATGTTACATTATCCTTATGTACCTTTTTCAACATACCTTATAAAATCTCTACATGTTTTGACCCATACACACTCAATGTAATTAAATTAATCTTAATCATTTCATATGCATTTAATATATCTTAACTGTATAATGCAGTATAAACAAGGTTTAAATGGATCTATCTCTACAAAATAGCATACAAGGTAATAACAATTCAATATCAAGTTATTTATAAGTATTTAATACCTGAAATTGCTGAAAACAAGTTAAAAAATCTGTTTTTTTAAATAAGCTGTGTTGATGACTTAATCAGTTTTCAACATAACCTTGTTTCAAAGCTTTCAGAAATTTGAGGTTATAATTTCAGTGTGTTTGTAGATGGTAGTATTCTGGGTTGTCATCATAGAGATGTATAAATTTACTTATCACCCTAATGTTGGAGGAAGCAAGGGCCTCTGAAACGTTAGTAGAAATTTATCATTCATTGCTAGATCTTTGTCATTCGATATTTGTGCTGCTATAACAATTCCTGAGTAGTGTCACACAACGCGAGTATTTATTTACCAAAATAAACCTCAGTGAGAAGCTGTTCTCTCCACAGGGAACTTAGCCTTTCCTGTAATACCGAGATCGCTATTCCGTAAATATTCGGGGAAGATGTCAATAACGTTTAGTCACATTGCACTGTGCCGATCTCGTGCAACAAAACACTGTTTAGGACGTAACTCTTACTAAACGTTACGTGCAACGAAAGTTACACATAAATCATGATGCAAGTGGAAAAAAACTGCAGACGGCCAACAGTCAGTAAATTATGTAACTCAATGTTGTTTTGTAATAAGGCCCAGTTCCACAGTTTAGCCGGTTTTTATCAAAATTTAAACAAATACTTTAAGCGATTTACCATTTTATATAACAAAAGAAATGATTAAACTATTACTGTTACGACTCACAAATTATGGTATTATTTGCAATGATGGCATTACGTAGTATGTAACTCAGCTTACTAGATATCCAAACAAATAACAACCATGCTCTTGCAATCAGCTGTAGAACAATAGAATGATGAAAATAGACTCTCCTCTGCTCTTCACAGATGGCACCACTCATTCCGGGTGAGTTAGAGAATTAGAAGTCAGAGGTGAATTACCTTTGCCATCTTGCGATGGGTTGTAACATAGTGACAAATTATGCAGTAAAATAATCTTGCTCTTTTTTAGTGTACAGCAACAGTGATTTCAAATCGAACAGTCGGCCCATGTGGTGTTGAATATGTCTTGAGACATGGGCCAAGCTGGAAGCGCTCTTGGGCACACAAGTGAGTAATTTCCATGAATTTGTTGTTATGATAGAAAATCGTGGTTTTAATTCATTTTCCGCCATTTGAACTTATATTAACCCTTTGCTTACAGCCAAGACAGTGCTGGTTAACGTACAGTAGACATTATTAGGTCGTTCAGTATCCACATAATTTGTAATAATTAAAATAATACCTGTCTCTGGTAGCGTATGTGTATGATTTTTATATATCTGAGTTATCTAAACAGCTAATATTAAATCACGCTGTTTTGTGTGATTCAGGAGACTATTTGTAGTGTTTTGTCGAATCATAACGTAAAGATGTCTGAATAGAAAGTACAGAGAGTGTGAGCAGCCAGCTATTTTTTTATGCTTGTATCTTCCAAACCCTACACTAGTCTGTAATTTATGTATGACCTAATATTTTCAAAATTGTGGAAACCAGCTGTTTAAAGGGAACTGCACGATTTATATGATGCTTATAGAAAAAGGAACTTTTGTAACATATGTGCCAGTTTTCAAACTATGTAAGTTTGTATTTTCGGAGTGAGTTAATAAATCAATTATGGCCTTCTCAGTTCTGTTTGCGGTGTACTGTTGTAGTGGTTGCCAGCATTTTGGAACATGTCACTCTTATATTCAGGGTGGATAATGGGGATAAGATTTCAGTACCCCTAGGATAAAGATGGTTCTTGAAACGGTGTTTTCTCCATTCAGTCACATGACACGGCTGGTAGCCCGAGAAGAATTAATTTTAGAGATATTTTCCTCTGAATTGTTAGTAGTCACTTCAAGACAACACAGCGACACAGCCCAGAAGATCACAAAGTACATTTTCACTACTGTGGAAATCTGAAATCTCATATAATACAACACTGTCTTATTAGAGGTATGTGAGGATGGTTGTAAGGTAATGAAAAATGTATTCAGAGGTGTTTGGCTAATTCGCTGTGCATTCACTATGTCTCTTCTCCGACAGTCTTGACGTTGAATGGCCAATAATACACTCCTAGGAACAGGATAGTATGTTTCATGCTGTAATTTATTTCTTGTTCTATACATGATATAGACACATAAATATAAGAAGGTGTGTTCTTGTTGATTGTTGTTAGCCACTTCCACGCACTTACAGTTAATAGTTTATTTACCGAACTACATTTTTCAGCCCAGTATGGCCATCATCAGGTTAAAATTCATATGAAGTCATTTAAGTGGGACAGTTATTTATTAATTCTTCCAATGATGTTTTCAAACAGCGGTAAAATTATAGGTTAAAGCTAGTTAGACGTTTTGTTTGAAATTATTTTAAAAAGTTAAGAAGTTGTCAGTGCAGCTTGTGAGTCCAGGCTTGTAGTGTATCATTGTAGAATGCTTTCCCATGTCAGCTACTGATTAAATTGCTTTTGTTTATTAGTGGGCTGGTAGACATTTTGTTTTATAGGCCATTGTTTTTTTTAAATGTTACTCTAGGTTTAGACGTAGTAAGGCCAAGCAAAACAATTGTTTTTATGTTGTCAGTACAAGGAATATTTATTTAAATATAGGTAAGACTAATTTGTCAAGCTTAGCTTTTGTATGCTGAGGGGAGTGTCCATTGGTTATGACACTTTTGCAAAGCCTTATTTTCATTGCGAGGCTGTGACGTGTGTTGCTGGTTTTGAATGTGTGTTAAAATTAAGTGTAATGTGCAAAAGTGTCTTATTGAAATTTGCTTCTGGTCGCAGAGGCCTTGGGTTTACGTGGAAATGTTGTTTGTGCATTCTTGATCGACGGGTATTTAAGAAGTGGTTGAAAACAAACATTTGTCAACTGTTTCTTCAAACAGAGAAAATAATTAGCACATCTAGTGACTGACGCTAGATTCCAGAATGACTTAAGCAGAAAAATGTTTCTCAGAACAGATTAATTAAGGGAAAGGGAATTAGTGCCTCAGTTTTTGGCAGTGTTACCAGTGTCAGAACTGAGACGTCTTATGGTTTTCGCAGTTCATCCAGGCATACGCCAGAAGAGTGTAGATCTTCAAAAATATATCTCAAGTTCTTCCTCCCACATCCTTAAATCATTGCATATTTGTTGTGTCATTTGTTATTCATCGCTACAAGACTCGGTTAATTAATTCAGACTCATTAAATAAACCACAAGGCTTTTAGATTAAATCCACTTTATTGAAAACAATGTGGTCTGTAAAAAATATGTAAATCTCAGGTATGGCGGTAATTCGGTGAATGAAACAACCAGTTTGCAGAGGCTACAGGAAAAATCCTCTGCCCCCGTCGGGGATCGAATCCCGGTCATCCAGTCCGAAGCCGGTCACTATACTGACTGAGCTACGCTGGCTCATTCCTCTTTAAGATACATTTTAATATTATTATTCTGTCTGTGCCTTAATGTCCACAAGTGTTATATTTGCTCCAAATCTTGTGATTACAGTATTGTAGGTCTTTATAATATTTACTAATGTTTCATTGCTTTTGGTTAAAACTGTAATAAAAGTGTTACAGCTAGGGCCTAAAGATTTCTGATAGTGTAACAGTTTTCATGAATGATCTCTTGGAATTCGGCAGTCATTCCAAATCTTTTTACCTACTACGTTTTGGATACTGGACCTGTTTTCGTCATGAGGTGACAAGGTAAGAAGTCCTATTCTGATAAGCCTCGAGTTTCTGTTCATTCTTTGCTGAAACACCTCGTATGGGATGGAAAACGTACAGATCGTGCTCTGAGTTGCTTATAAATGTTGTTATTAAATGTGGATGGGTTTGAAACCATAATTTTTTGCATAACTCCGGCTTTCAGGGCAAACATTGCAGTTAACATTTTCAGGGCGAGTGATTGTTTGGAGATTTTTGAAACCTTTACGTAGATCACGATGAGGCCCAGGTCCAGTCGTGGAACAGCTGACGGTCTGTCTTTCTCGGCGTCGAGCCAATCTTGGGGATCAGTCTGAGGGACTTTTACCATCTGAATTGCCTTGAGGCATACGATCTGACTAGAGGACGAGTCGTGTGTGGAAGGGCTGTGTGTATCCAGACTGTGGCGCGGTAGATTATGTCTTATCTTCTTTGGCGTATGCAACAACGGCAACTGGTTTGGACTAGTTTCGCCTGACTCAGAATGCTGGCTAGTGGCGGCTCCTGTGAACGCGTTAGTGAACTATCAGGTTTCGTAAAATGCTGGGAATTTAAGTGGCCGAGCGACTGTTGGCTTCTCAGGAAGGACTCGGCTCCATAGAGTAATTTAAGTGTAACTTCAGTTTAGTCACTTGAACGACCGTAGACTTGACGATCTGTTAGGGATCGAGAATTTTCTGATAAAATCGAAAGTCATTATTGACGTATTGACATCTTTATGGTGGTCCGTTTGGAGTTAAGGCTTGATGTTGCTAACTTTTGAACAGGGCGTAGGCCCTGATCAGCGTTCTGAATACCAGTCCTTTCTGTGTGGGTATTCTATTAAGGATTACACCGGGGTATTTCATTTAGTTTAAAATCGGGATGGGCCTGGACCATTCTGCGTCTACTAGAGAAACATGTGACCATAGACTTGTCTTCATTGATTTATGCGTTCGGATTGAAGCCGGGCTGCGGCTTTATGACAATGTAGGCGTACCCCACCATGCGACGACGGGGTTACGTTCCTCGAAAATGTGGTTATGTCGTGAGGTATGTTTTCCCGTGAGGTGTGTTATAAATTAAGATTTGTTCCAGAGCTAGTAGAAGAAGGAGGATGAGATTGCTATAGGAAGCTAACTCTGAAATAATTTCGAGCTCAGTCTACATTGAAGAATTTTATGTTTAAATGATTCTGTGCTTGTCATACGCGAAACTAAGCACACGTCAAGAAAGGCCTTTTGCCTCTAGCCTCTCCCGGTCAGCACATTCGAGTGTTTTTGGTGTGTCAGGAAAATACAATCGGACTCTCACCTGGCGTATCATTTGGAAGCCGTGTAATTACGTCCCAGGTAGACACCGCCATTGCCACAGATTCTTGTTGGTGTAATCTCGCAGGAGCAAACTCTTTGCAGTGATGAGAGTTCGCGAGAGAGCTTCACTGTTCTGGTCCTCAACAGTAGGTGAATGGCAGTGGTCTCTAGGTGCTGCAGACCCGAGACTGGCACAGGGTAAATGATCTATGCCCCTCGAGGACTGACTATGTGGGGAAGGAGTCCGACTTGCTGGATCGGGGAGGATGGCACTTAAGAGACAAGCGGGCATACACTTGTTGTGTCGGATGAACCTGAGACTTGAAGACACTGCCACCTCGTGCAAAGTGGTTTCAGCCAGGTCTAAGGTTCTTAACGTGAGAAGGTTTGGCTGGGGGTCGTTTTGGGCTCTGAGACGCGCGTGGATCTTTTGCTCGAAGTCCACGAATTTCATTCCTCGAGCTTTTTAACAAGTAGAAGTTGACGTACTTAGCAGACATTTTCACAAAGGTTGATGGACTGAATCTCCACTGAATGCAATTGCTAAGTAGCACAGAACCACATAGCTATTAAATGGATTATAGATGTTTATGATTAGATAATTATTGATATCTAGCTTTATTTTTAAACTAATATTTTCTCTGCTCACATCCACTGTAAATGACGAGTCATATTCCATATGCAGTGAGATCTTTGGGTCTCGGGAAACTGATTTGGATATTGTGAAATAATTACGTATAATCTATATATAAAATATGAATAAGTATCTTTCAGTTTTAATGATTAAACGATGTGTATAAATAAATTTAAATTCATTTCAAATAATGAATATATTTAAAGTAAATTACGATAATAAAGATGGATAACTATGAACATTTTTCGGTTGGGGTAGATTTATAATAAGTTGTCGCTGTCAATCAATGCCATAAACCATCTACCTACCCCCCACAATATACAAATGGGGTTAGTGTGCCGCCATGACTCTTCGATAATATTTAATGTGCCCCGAGTGTAGATAAGTCGCGCAACATTGTTCTAGACCAGTGGTATTCAACCTGGGGTACGCGAAGACATCTTAGGGGGTACGTGAAATTTAA